AAAGCATATTCGAAAACATGATTGCATTATTTCACAGACTGACTCATTTGTTAGATGAGCACCAACAGGAGTGAGTAGTAACGTTCTTAAGACCTAAAAGAAACAATTATTACAAAATCTTTATACTTTTGTTTACAGAACTATTCTTATAAATCCATTTTGAACAACCCAAAAACAAATTTAACTTAATTAAAAGTATTGTACTGTTTAACTTCAGGTAAGGCGTTTCAAGTTCTTCTTGCAATAGTCTGATTTGCTAACTTTGCAGAGCTAATAATCTTCAAATGGTCACCTAAAAACTTAAGTATAATACACTCAGCATGATATTATATATTTTCAGGATCACCTCTGCAGTTCCTGTCCACGTACAATTTGAACCATGACATCTAGACTGTGGCTGGTCTAGTGGGCCAATAACATCAAGGTTTGAAGACATTTATGAATGACTGCAAGAAAGCATTTCAATAAATCCATTCCTCAAACACTCAAAAGATAAAGCACATGTGCAAACATGTTCCAAAAAGCAACTGCATACACCAATATTTCAACTATTTGTATAATTCAAATAAAATCTTGCCCCTAATTAGAAGCTGAAGCAGATTCCTGTGATAGGTTTTGAAGTTCAGTTGCATAACCACTGTCAAGTAGAAAAGTATGCAATGCGTTAAAAAAAAATTTCGGAATGGCAGAAAATGCAGTAGGGAAATTAACTAGTTAGTTTCTGTTGCCTTTTTAGATTGCCACATATTATTCTCTCACTTGGACAATGCACAGGCAAATGTTCCCAATCTCAACAAGCCTTCAAGTCACAAACAGCATACAAGAATAATCAAACTTGTTCTTTTCCCTGAACAGTCAGCTTTTTAAGGGACCACAACTGTAGATTTCAACACAAACCAAAAAGAATTAAAGTTTTCTCTCTCTCGGCTGTTAGGAGCCAAAATTAAATAACTTGTTTGACAATGTAAACCAATTACCAGCAGACACAAGACGGTAATACAAAACATCCCTTAATTCTGCACTAATTGGAACCACAATCGAGTCTGATGGTTATCATGGTTGAGAGGTTCTCTCAGGTTGGGTGAATGGAAATTGTAAATGGCAATTGGCATACAGAAAAGCACCTATTTCCTATGCTATGCCCTCAACTCAAACCTCATGAAATTCCAAGTGAAATATGTTGTCCACTTCGATAATGTAATGGTAAGAACAACATGCAATTCATTCCCTGTCTATCTATTTAGAAGTAGAGTCAAAGCCTTCATTGTATACAGGTGGTTAAGGTGGGCTAAAGCTTGAGGAGTTTTTGAGGCAAAGTGATATCTTGTTTATATGGGCTGATAGGTAAGTCAAATTCCAGAAGAAAAATTGTTCCCCTTTTCTCCATTTTGAGCAGAACAGTAAAAGATTCAGAAATTTAAAGCATAAACAAGCCAAGTGTAAGAATATATATTCAAAATTTCATCGAATGTGGCAAAATTTCTTTTCTTCATAAATCAGGAAAGTTCATTTAAACTTACCATGCAACATATAAACTTAATTAGATTGCTATCCTATCACAAATATTGACAGTCCAGGCATGGTGTCAGTGCTTATTAATAGGTGATCTCGTTGCAAAACCATCAAATCAAACTCAAAATTAATTCAATAGGTTTTCAAAATTTAAAACAAGAACTATGAAATCCTAAATAGCCTGAACGCCAAACCACTAAGCACACAGTACGACTTCACACTAAAGGTGATTTAGATTTTTCAAAAAGAAGAATATAATGCCATTCATCCGTAAAAGTGAACCTAACAACTTGAAATATAAGTCTTATTAATGGAATACAGAATTTCAATAATCTATCAATATTCTACAACAGAATCCCTACAGTGTGGAAATAGGCCCTTCAGTCCAACAAGTCCACACCAACCCTCAGAGCATCCCACCCAGACCCATCCCCCTATAACCCACCTAATCTACGCATCCCTGATGGGCAGTTTAGCATAGCCAATCCACCTGGCCTGCATATCTTTGAACTGAGAGAGGAAACCAGAGCACCCGGAAGAAACCCCCACATACATGGGGAGAACGTGCCAACTTCACACAGACAGTTGCCCAAGGGTGGAATCAACCCGGGTTCCTGGCGCTGAGAGGCAGCAGTGCTAACCACTGAGCCACCATGCTGCCAAATGCAGTAAGTTGTAAGTGCTGCAAATATTTTATATTAAGCATTTTCTTTTGGTGGTAAATTCAAAAAATGTTTTCAAAACTTACACTTTGCACAATTATTCAACCTTTTAGGGCCGTTCTCCTTTTTGCCTTCTAAAGATCAGCCGTAACACTTTACACAACAGCTTCACAAGGCCTGATATAGTTCAATAAAGTTTCAATTCCAGGTGCTGCACGGGGCTGTGCAGGCCAAATCATTGAGTGCATTTGGACAGAGATACTTAAGATTGTAACGACTAATGTTTGTAATGAAAACAAATTGTTGAAAAAGCTCAGCAGGTCTGGCAGCATCTGTAGAGAGAAATCAAAGTTAACATTTCAGGCTGAGTGACCCACTCAACTGAGGAAGAGTCACTTGACCCGAAATGTCAACTCTGAATTCTGTCTACAGATGCTGCCAGATCTTCTCAGCTGTTCCAGTAATTTGTTTTTTCTTTTCTGATTTACAGCATCCGTAATTCTTTCAGTTTTTATAGATAGGTTCATGATTGGTAAGGGTTACAGGGAGAAGACAGAAGAATGGGGTTGAGAAATATATCAGCTATGATCAAATGGCCTAATTCTGCTCTTATGTTAATCAGGAGGAATCCAAGCTAATACCACTTCTTGACAGTAGTAACCATAAATTTTAAATATTTCAACAGAGCTTACTTACTTTCCAGGTATGGAATGAGGAAAATGAAAGACACTAAAAATATTTCGTGTACTACATCTTCTCTCCTTTAACAGTAAAGATTTTGTTTTGCTTTTCACTTATGGCAAAGCGAGTCACTTTTACCCTTCAACAAACTTATTACCGGAGTTTTTAAGGAAAATTTAAAGGGCACCACCACACCTTAATATCTGGCTCAATGAGTGGCTGCATTTTTGCAATGGTGTGTAACACTATAGTATACATCAGAGAGCGCTCAATTATGAGTTTGCAAGCCTTAACCAGGGCAATGTACCCAGGCACTAGAAAGAAGAGTCTAGGCCCGAAACGTCAGCCTTCCTGCTCCTCTGATGCTGCTTGGTCTGCTGTGTTCATCCAGCTCTACACCTTGTTATTTCACTAGAAAGAACCTGTCGTCATTAAGCTAGGAGCAGAGGGAGATAGCAAAATCAGATGGGATTTCCCCAGTTTCAGTGTCTTGAGTAACCCCTACTTGAAAGTATGCGTTAGCTTCAGCTGAGGATAAGCTGAGTCTTTGTTACGAGATCAAACTGCCTGCCAGTGCTCATTCCAGAGGAAGGATGACAAACAAATGTCTACAGAGGCTTGGTCTTAGAGTGTACCCATGCAAGTAAACCACAGCATAAGCCACCACCTTCAGTAAAGCACGAACAAATAATGCCCAAAAAAGGCAATTACAGAATCAACTAAGAACAAGAACAGCAATTAATTAGAACAATGTAGAGTACTATTTAATCCCCTTGTTCACAACAGAGACAAAAGGAGAAATCCTGAAGCCAAAACATGTATTCAGTTTCATTGAAATCCATTTGGGAATACTATCATTACTCTAATTAATAGTCAAGTAACCAGATTTCATTTTAATACCAATGACTAATTGGCTCAGCTGTTTTCGTTAGTATTTACCAGCAGATTGCATTACCTGCAAAATTTTCATTAGAACAACTTCGTCACTTGCTGGGTCCGTGCCAACAAAACGTGCATGCGTGACAGCATCAGCCATGTTTTCAATTCCCTCTGCCGCACCTTCATGACTGGGATCTGCAAAAAAATCATGACTGTAAAGATCCTTCATCCTTTGTGGTAGTAAATGAATACAATCTTCTACTAGTCAGCACAAAATCCATGACAAAAATGAGCTGCTTCTCTGACTAAACCTATTAATGGAACCTAAAACATGCTTGGCTATGAAAGAGCAAGAGACTTTTTTCTATCAATAAAGCTCTAGCATATTAGTTAAATATTGAATTAACTCAAACAACAAAACTAAAATTGAAAGCAAAGCACTGCTGATGCTGGAGAAACTCTGCAGGTCTGGCAACATTGGTAGGGAAAGAAACAAAGTTAACATTTTGAGTTCAATGACTCTAATCTGGTAATGCTCTGAAGAATAGTTCAGAAGAAGAGTCCTATTTGGACTCACTCCATAGATACTGCCAGACCTGCAAAGTTTCTCCACCACTTTCTGTTTCTATTTCAAATGAAAATTGAACCATGTGGGGGGCCATGTCATCCAGGTGCAGGCAAGTCACAGACTGGATCATTGACTTTATCAATTAAACTTTAGCCTCCGGGGGAAACAGAAACCTTCAACTGTGGTAAAACAAACTAATAGTGGTACAATGCAGATCCTTGGGTCTGATGTAAGCAGGACAGCTTTGCACAGTACTGCCCTTTCTAAGGCATCATAATTACATGCTCACCTGTCCACTAAGTACATGGTTTCTCAAGAATCTTTTGACAAACCTCCTTTGTTGTATGGAAGAATAACAAGGCCAACCCAAGCTGCTGCCTTGCATCTTCAGCAATCATGGCAGCAGCAATAAATGGCTGTAGATTCTTCAGATACAGACGGGAAGAGATACAATAGGCAACATTGACAGTTGAGAGGTGGGAAAGAGATTATGCTTTTGAATTATATAGGAATAGACAACCACATAAATCAGTGCTACTTCTAAAGCATGTACTATTAGCATTCTGAAGTTCAAGACCATTTACTGAAAAATGCAGATACATTACATTAAAAGGCTGCAACTTCAAAATTCACAAATTTACAAGAAGCTACAAATTGCTACCATTCTGACTTATACAGCCTCTCTATTTATAATCAATATAATTTTTAACGATGCTGCCATCAATGAAGATGGAGTTCTCGGATTGGGGGAAGGAATGACAGAGTTAGCTACCAGCTAGGTTCAGGCTAACTGGAAGTAAAACTAGAATACTTTGTTATGAGCATTCTTAGTTAGCCTAGTTAGAAACTGTAGCAATGCCTACTCAAGCAGAAAGGCAATACTCTGCTAATAGAGGATGTTTATAATAGAATCTTTCAGTTTTACTTCCAGTCAACCTGAAAATAACTGATAGTTAACTTCATCCTCATTAATGGCAATAACATTAATGAATCAAGTAGCTGACAGATCCTTAGGCAGTAATTCAATCTAGGGGTCCCGTTCTTTTCAGGCTGGTAATAAGGTATAAGACAGTAATTCTATTCGTTATTACATTATACATTCAGATAATTCTTAACATGGAACTCCATTACAAGCAAAACATTAATCTTTTTGAGATAGTCGGAACTGCCGATGCTGGAGTCTGATAAGATAACAAGGTGTAGAGCTGGATGAACATAACAAGCCAGGTAGCATCAGAGGAGCAGGAAAGCTGACGTTTCAGGTCTAGACCCTTCTTCAGAAATTCAGAAATTTCTGAAGAAGGGTCCAGTCCCAAAACGTCAGCTTTCCTGCTCCTCTGATGCTGCTTGGCCTGCTGTGTTCATCCAGCTCTACACCTTATTAATCTTTTTGACTCAGGATATTGTCGTTCCAAAGAAATCGAAACAGAAAAAAAACGAATCAAGACACCAAAGAGTTGCTTATAAATCGGACACTCAGAATACAGCTGGTGGAGGAAACATGGTTCAAAGCAGTACCAAACAAGCTAATATTTACCCATTTCTAGAAGATGCTATTGGTGACTTCTTTTGGAGCACCTGATTGTATTGTTCAGGGAAAATATATCAGCACTGACTACCAATTAAAGATCCAGTAATCTGAGTTATTGCTTGATCGAACTACTCACACTTGAATTACTTTTTCTAACAAAACAAAAAACAATTGATTCCAAACCAAATCTAAATCTTGACAAACCAAACGTTTTAAAAACGTTTGCAGTTTTCAGTTCAAAGATCACTTCCACGCGAGTAAAATGATATTTACTTGGTGTGGACTGACGTACTAACAAATGTGTCAACATTTATAAAGTTGTGTGTCTAACATCACCAAACATCTACATTATCGAAAACAAAGTTGCTGGAAAAGCTCAGCAGGTCTGGCAGCATCTGTGTACCCGAAATGTTAACTCTGTTTTCTCCTCCACAGATGCTGCCAGACCTGCTGAACTTTTCCAGCAACTTTGTTTTTGTTCCTGATTTACAGCATCCGCAGTTCTTTTGGTTTTTATCTACATTATCGAAGCCATCTTTCGATGGAATAATTTGAATGGTTACTTAATTTGCATCGTATGTTCTCAGCAGTCAGCACAGCATTCCGCAGCTAGCCAATAAATCAGTAATAACGTACATCTCCTGAAAATTACTTACTGTGCAAAAATGTAATCTTTTAGAGATGGGAATTGCACTGACGGGGGGGGGGGGGGAGGAAAAATCTTATTGGCTCATGCAAGGTAAAACAAACTGTATTTTCATTTTGACCTAAATAAATGTTGCTGAATTAAAGTTACAAATTTAATCTCATACTTCGCACAGACATTGTTTATCCCCCTCTGGTTATTATAATAATCCAAGGCTTCCAACTATTTTCTTCCTATGTTGGATTGAACCATTTGTCAAAAAACATACGTGCTGAGTTTGTTAGTTGCAAGTTGGAGTAGGGTAGGCGATTGCCTATTAATCCAGAAACCCAGGATCTGGGGACCTGGGCTCAAATTCCACCACGGCAGATGGTAGAGTTTGAATTCAATAATTAAAACAAAAGTCTGGAATTAAGAATCTACTGATCACCATGAAATCATAATCGATTGTCGGAAAAACCCATCTGGTCCACGAATGTCCTTCAGGGAAGGAAATCTGCCACCCTCACCTGGTCTGGCCTACATGTGACTCCAGACCCACAGCAATGTGGTTGACTCTCAACTGCCCTCTGAAATGACATTGCAAGCCACTCAGTTGTACTAATCGCTACAAAGTCTAAAAGAAATGGAATCAGATAGATCACCTGACATCAACCAAGGCACCGGAAAAGACAGCAGAAACAGCCCTGTTGACCCTGCAAAGTCCTCCTCATTAACATCTGGGGGTTAGTGCCAAAACTGGGAGAGTTGTCTCATAGACTGGTTAAGCAACAGCCTGACAGTGTCTGTAAGATATGATTCAGAGTGTATGACATTGCCCCAGACACCACCATCACCATCCCTGGGTATGTCATGTCCCACCGGCAGGACAGACCTAGCAGAGGTGGCAGCACAGTGGTATACAGTTGGGAGGGTGTTGCTCTAGGAGTCCTGAACATTGACTCTGGTCCCCATGAAGTCTCATGGCTTCAGGTTAAACATGGCATCCGGCTGATGACCACACACAGTCTCCCTCAGCTGATGAATCAGTACTCCTCCATGTTGAACAACACTGAGGATGGCAAGGGCACAAAATGTACTCTCATAGAATCACTACAGTATGGAAACAGGACCTATGGCCCAACAAGTCTACACTGACCCTTGGAACAGTCCACCCAGACCCATACCCCCATAACCCACCTAATTTACACATCCCTGAACATTACAGGCAACTTAGCATGGCCAATCCACCTAGCCTGCACATCTCTGGACTGTGGGAGGAAACCAGAGCACCCAGAGGAAACCCATGCAGACACGGGAAGAACGTGCAAACTCCACACAGACAATCGCCCGAGGCTAGAATTGAACCCGGGCACCTGGTGCTGTGAGACAGCAGTGCTAACCCCTGAGCCACCGTGCCGCCCGTACTCTGGGTAGGGGATTTCAATGTCCACTAGCAAGAGTGGCTCAGCAGCAGTACTACTGATCGAGCTGGTCGGGTCCTAAAGAACATAGCTGCCAGACTGGGTCTACGGTAGGTGGTGAGAGAACCAAGAGGGAAAAACATACTTGACCTCATCCCAATCAATCAATCTGCCAGCTGCAGTTGCATCTATCCATGACAGTATCGCTAAGAGTGACATCACACAGTCCTCGTGGAGACGAAGTCCCACCTTCACACTGAGAATAACTTCTATCGCGTTGTGTGGCACTATCACCTTGATAAACGGCACAGACTTCGCACAGATCTAGCAACTCAAGACTGGGCATCCACGAGGGGCCATCAACAGCTGAAGAATTGTACTCCTGCACAATCTGTAACCTCATGGCCTGGCATATTCCCCACTCAACCATTGCCATCAAGCCAGGGGATCAAGCCTGGTTCAATGGAGAGTGCAGGAGCACATGCCAGGAGCAGCACCAGGCATACCTGAAGATGATGCATCAACCTGGTGAAGCCAGTAAACAGGACTACTTGCACGCCAAACAGCGAAAGCAGCAAGTGATAGACAGAGCTAAGCGATCCCACAACCAACGGATCAGATCTAAGCTCTGCAGTCGTGGTCAATTAAACAACTCACTGGAGGAGGCGGCTCCACAAATATCCCCTTCCTCAATAATGGAAGAGCCCAGTACATCAGTGCAAAAGACAAGGCTGAAGCATTCACAGCAATCTTCAGCCAGAAGTGCTGAGTCGATGATCCATCTCAGCCTCCTCCAGTGGTCCCCAGCATTACAGATACCAGTCTTCAGCCAATTTGATTCACTCCACATGATGTCAAGGAACGGTTGGAGATGCTTGATACTGCAAAGGCTATGGGCCCTGACAATATTCCGGCAACAGTACAGAAGACTTGTGCTCCAGAACTTGCCACTGCCTTAGCCAAGCTGTTCCAGTACAGTTACAACACTGGTATCTACCTGACAATGTGGAAAATTGGTCAAGTATGTCCTGTCCACAAAAAGCAGGA